TCCTAGTGGGTGCCCACAGTTTCAAACTCACGTCCTCGACCTTGGTGGACCATTCATGTTGGGCCATATGGCAACATCTTAGCGCGTACACTCTCCCTTTAGGCGCGACCATACGCGCGTGGGGCTTGTGAACCAACGCGTGAGGTTCCCCTTTTAACCTAATTGTATTTTGTCCCAGTTTTGATACGCGCGTGGGCTTGAGAGAGCTTTCAAGAAATTTGGGTCTCCCAACATGTGAAAAAATAAGTTTCAAAGGGCATGCTTCATTCTAGTAACAATTTGGATTTGAGGCTAGTAGTACTAGTAGGGATGACAAATTAGTATGCAAGCATGATGGACCTTAGGTGGTTGGAACATGTGTAATTATGACACACAGGATTATAAAATTATGAAATTTCCATTAGAGCAAGAGAATTGATAACATTTTCTAATGTGGTATGATGGAAGAAGGAATATTCTGATTTGTTCTTCGGGTGATTGATGGATGTTATCTCCCTGTTGAGCTTATTTGATTGTTGATCGTGTGTATGATTTATGTCATGACTTTCATGCATTAAGGCTTGGTAGGAATACCTTCTTAAATAACATATGAAAATAGACATGATTTATGTATTAGAGATAGTTCCTAGTTATATTTTTTTCCTAGTAAAGCACACATCAAGATCACAGTTAAGATTAGAGTGCTATAGTTAACGTGGTTTACATGTAGAATCAAAGGTTCGATCTATGTGCACCTAGGGATTGATTAAGCCGAGAGAGTAACCTAGAACGTCCTGAAAATTGAGAAATGGAATTTAATTTGCATGAACACTCCTAAGAACCTAGTAGACTTCCATAGTGTATTAACATGATTTAAGTAGCTTATAGAATCACGAAACAAGTTGAGTTACTATTGAGTGTAGAGTCGAGATAGGGTCGATGTTGTAATCTCGTTAAACTAGATCTTGAGAAGAACTAGAGACTCATGGATAGTTAGCTCAAGATGTATACCCCTATGGAGTTTAGAAACAAAGGAACCTGTAAACCAGTCCTAGTTGGACTAGGGACTATACGAGTAGGTGGAGAGCCCCTACTGAGTGTAAAAATAGGTGAACCTATAAACTAGTCCTTCTTTGGTGGACTAGGAACTACATGGGTAGGTGGTAAGATTAGAGCACCTATTGAGCATAGAAATGAGTTAAGGCCGACGCTGCGACTTTGTAAATCGGTCTTGGTAGAGATTAGGGACTACGCGGGTAAGTGGTTTAGCATGAACAATTTGATTGAGTGTAGAAACAGGTCAAGGTCGATGTCGTGACGCCATAAACCAGGTTCGAAAAGGGACTAAGGACTACACGAGTTGATGATCAGTGAAGAATCAATTGGAACTTCGTATAGACGAAAGGAAAGTCGTGAGAATCTACTAGGAGAAGAAAATGATGAGAGCCTACATACAAATATGTTGCTTATTGAGTATATTTTTATACTCGCCCCTTTTATTTCCTTTCTTTTTCAGGTATCGGTCATGGAGGGGTATCATTCCGAAGTGTCAATCAATTTTCAAATTGTGACATTTTTTATTTTCTTTTATATTTTTATTTCGGATTTGTAATATTTGAAATAACATCACTTTCTAACAATTAAATTTTGGGGTTGACTTCTTTTTCTTGTTTTAAATTTTATTAGATTTTATTCTATTTTATTTTTATTTTATTTTCACTTTCGTCTCTTTAATCTCTAATCAATTTTGGAAGTTTCAAAATATAGATTATTATCATTCTTTCTTTTGTTACCCTTGTATTTAGTTAAAGAATGAAGCATGGTCTCAGTCATGTTCATTTTTTGTACCTTTCTAGTTAGATTGAGGCTAAAGAATGAATCATGTCGTTAGATTGACATAGGACACAACCCTAAGAGTATGAAAATGATATTAATGTAAATATCCACGAGCACGTGTCACATAGTGCAACCAAAAGATGAGGCTAGAGGGTTGTGCGAGAAGAGATGTATATTTGGACTTAGAGGGACCTCATGCATATTGTATGTTCATAAGCATAGGACTACTTTCCCTAGAGATGATGAGTGCGGACGCGCACCGTATGATGAGTGCGAATGCACACAGATGAGGGTGTTCATGAGACGCATGACACTATGGGGTTCTATTGACCTCCGAACATCGCTATAGATTAGCTTGACCAGAGCGTCCAAGGGGTGTGTGAGCGATCTGGGGATTCACACTCGCACGTGTGAGTCGTGTGTAGAGAAGTATTACACATCCAATTTGTTCGAGACTAGAAGTCACCCTTAAGATGATTAGAGATAGGTCCCTAATTCATGATTGCATGTGTTTGCATTAGCATGGTCCCTATAGTGGGGTCACTTATTGAGTATTTCTTCGAAATACTTAGACCGTGTGACATATTGTTTTTCAGGTAAAGGTAAGGCGCCCATGTACAATTGACGGCGGCATCGGGATCAGAGTCTTGGCGCATGCATAGGATAATTGCATTTTTAAAATTTCTAGTCTTTGTTAGGATAGAGTATTTGCATTTCATTTATTTAAATTATTTAATTTGTAATTGTTTTATCTTATTTTGAACTCCAGCATGATGTTTGAAACACGTAAGTTCGCCAGTGTTTTCTAATGTTTTAATGTATTATGAAGTTTTAAATTTTTCCGTTAATAAAGATGAAAATTCTTAGAGTTATATTCTACATAGAGAAGAGCATGAGACGATAGTGGCAACTATAGATATATGTTAAAATTTAGGGTTCTTACAGTTGGTATTAGAGCTCTAGGTTTTAGATTCTGTAGACTAGCCTATGATGTAGGCTTGGCATGTTCCATTGTCCCAACGTCGATGTCCCGTCACCGTCAGGTACGCCTTGCACAAGATAAGAAAAGAGACGTTTTTGAACACGCATGCATTTTTATGTTAATATTGCTGAAATTGTTGTGATATTTCAAGTATTTATTTAAGAGTATGATGTGTGTGTTGCATGCTAAGTGATTTTGTTAAGTGATTTTGTTTGCAATATGATGTGAACTTAGTATATGTGATGTATAGCATAAGTTCATAAGTACGAGCCTCAGGCTTAAGAGATGCTATTTTGGTTTCTAGAACCATGTTGCCTAGATCACGCGAAGAGCAAGACGAGAAAGGGGACGACCTCTTATTAGAGGTGAGGACGAGGTGAGGCTGAAGAGAGTCCTCCTCGAGAAGGATCAGAGACAGAGCTTGAATTAGAACCCTTATTGCATGTATGGTTGGCAAGCACCCCTGCAGGGGTTGACTTAGTAACTAAGGATAGAGGAAAGAATGACCAAGTAATAGCAGCCGACCAAACTCTAAGCGTAGACCTAATAGTAGTAAAGATGACCAATTTCGACGTCATACTAGGCATAGATTGGTTAACCGAAAACCGAGCTAGTATAGACTGTCGTAAAAAGGAAGTAAAATTTTCACCACCGACAGGACCTATCTTTAAATTTAAAGGCACAAGTATCGGGATTACCCCCAAGGTAGTCTCGATGATGAAAGCAAAGCGGTTAGTCCAACAAGGCGGATGGGCTATATTAGCATGTGCTATAGACGTAAGAGGAAAAGAAAAGACCCTAGAAAACGTGCCAATAGTAAACGAGTTCCCAAATGTATTTTCGGACGACTTACCTGGAATACCCCCTTCCCGAGCAGTCGACTTCGTCATCGAACTCGAGCCTGGAACTAGGCCTATTTCCAAAGTACCCTATCGCATGGCGCCGACAGAGTTGAATGAACTCAAGGCGCAATTGCAATACTTACTAGATAAATGATTCATTCGATCTAGCGTGTCCCATGGGGTGCATCAGTGTTGTTTGTTAAGAAGAAAGATGGATCGATGCGTCTATGCATCGATTATAGAGAGCTAAATAAGAGAACCATAAAGAACAAATATCCTCTGCCTAGAATAGAAGACTTGTTTGATAACTCAAAGAGGCAACTGTATTCTCCAAGATAGATCTTCGGTCCGGTTACCACCAAATTAGGATCAATGAAAAAGATGTACCAAAAGCAGCGTTTAGGACAAGGTACGGTCACTACGAGTTTGTAGCTATGTCATTTGGCATCACCAATGCACCAGCTATGTTTATGGAGTTAATGAACCAAGTATTGAAGGAATGTCTAGACATGTTCGTGATCGTGTTCATTGACGACATCTTAATATACTCGAAAACAGACCTAGAACATGAGGAACACCTCCAAAAAGTCCTAACTACCCTAAGAGAGCACAAATTGTACGGCAAGTTCTCCAAATGTGAATTTTTGTTATGAAAAATCTCTTTCCTAGGACAAGTTGTGTCAAAGGACGGAATATCTGTAGATCCCACCAAGGTCAAAGCGGTTACAAAGTGGGAACGTCCAACTACGGTAATGGAAGTAAGGAGTTTCCTAGGAGGCGGGATACTATCAAAGGTTCGTGCAGGACTTCGCTAGAATAACCTCGCCTTTAACAAAGCTAACAGAAAAAGGGGTACCATTTAAATGGAATGATGCTTGTGAGGCAACTTCCAAAACCTAAAAGAGAGATTGGTAACCGCCTTGGTGCTCACAATACCCGAGAGCTCAGAAAGGTATGTGATTTATAGTGATGCCTCCATGAAAAGACTGAGATGTGTATTAATGCAACACGGCAAGGTTGTCTCATATGCGTCTCGTCAACTTAAGGAATACAAAAAGAACTACCCTACCAACGACCTACAGTTGGCCACTGTAGTGTTAGCGCTAAAAATCTGGCGACATTACCTATATGGAGAGAAAACTCAAATTTTTACCGACCACAAAAGTTTAAAATACTTCTTCACCCATAAAGAGTTAAACAGAGGCAGGGAAGGTGGTTAGAATTGGTGAAGGATTATGATGTAGATATCGAGTACCACCCTGGAAAAGCAAACATGGTCGCAGATGCTTTGAGCAGAAAGATGGTCCACTCGTCAACCCTCATTACGAGGGAAGTAAGGGTACAAAGAGAGTTCGAGCGAGCAAACATAGATGTAGCGATTGATGGAGTCATAACACAACTAGCCCGACTCATAGTACAACCTACGCTTAGGCAGAGAATTATTACCACCCAATGAGAAGATCCTAACCTACAGAAAGTCCAAGGACAGCTAAACGAAAGTCCAATAGATAGATTCTCGAAGTCCTCAGATAAAGGACTATTGTGTCAGGGACGCCTATGTGTTCCGACAATAGAGGATTTAAGGAAAGAGATACTGACGGAAGTTCACAAATCACCATTTTCCATCCACCCAGGAGGTACTAAAATGTACCAAGATTTAAAACAACATTTCTGATAGAAGAACATGAAGAGGGACATAGTCGAGTTTGTGAGCAAGTGCTTAGTTTGTTAATAAGTGAAAGCTCCTAGACAAAAGACAGCGAGGATGTTACAGCCCCTAAGTATACTGGAGTGGAAGTGGGAAAACATAACAATGGACTTCATAGTAGGATTAACCAAAACGCTTAAAGACTATATAGTGACCTGGGTAATTGTCGATAGGTTCACCAAGTCAGCACACTTCTTACTTGGAAAAGCCATATACAGTTGATAACTGGGCACAACTGTATGTGACAGAAATAGTAAGACTTCATGGAGTTTCAGTGCCTATAGTGTCGGATCGAGATCCATGCTTTACGTCAACGTTTTAGCGCAAACGTCAAAAAGCGTTGGGTACTTGGCTCGATTTTGGCACCGCCTTCCACCCCCAAAGATGGAAAAATGGAGCGCCTAAACTAAATCTTAGAGGACACGCACGTGCTTGTGTATTAGAATTTAAGAGAAGTTGCGCTTTCAAGGCACTATGGGAATAGCATCGTTCAAGGCCCTGTATGGGAAGCAGTGCAGGTCCCTGCTATGTTGGGACGAGGTAAGTGAGAGAGAGCTAGTAGGACTCAGGTTGGTCCTAGTCGCCAATGAGATTGTCTAGAAAATTTGAGCGAGGATGCATACCGCTTAAAGTAGACAAAAAAAGAATTTTTTTTTCTTTTTTTTTTTTTTTTTTGCAGATGTAAGACACAGAAACTTAGAGTTTGAGATAGGATACCTAGTATTCCTCAAAGTGGCACATATGAAGGGTGTCTTGAGGTTCGGACATAAGGGCAAGTTAAGTCCTAAATTCATTGGACCATTCAAGATCCTAGAGCGAGTTGGTCCAGTAGCGTATAAGTTAGCCCTACCTCCAGCCCACTTAGGAGTACACGATGTTTTTCATGTGTCGATGCTGAGGAAGTACATTACGGATCCTATCCACGTTGATATGAACCAAAAGGCATCAATCATACAATATACTTCAATGAAGATGTGAAGAAAAGGTTGTCAAAATTATCCAAAGGTGTTCAATTCATGCCACATTGAGAAGAAAGAAGTTTGATTGTTATAAATTTTGGGTGGGTTGTAATTTAGAGTAATTTAGAGTTATTATATTTTAAGACATTTTATTTACCTTAGGTTACATTTACATAATGGCTAATTATGGGCATTAAGAATGAATGTTACAACTCTTGGAATGCCTTTAGTGGTTTCATTTTGAGACTATATAAAGCCATATATGTTTGTTTTTGTAAGAGACTTGGAAAATATATGGTAAAAGGAGCATTTGTGCTTTCTTTAGCCAATGGCTAAGTTTATTTGCAATTCTATGTAGTTTAGGTTGCATGTAGAATCATTCAAGCTCGACATGATCAATCTTGCTTGTGGAGTGATTCGAATCTCAAACAAGTGTTTGAGATATTTGATCAACAAGAATCATTCAAGCTAGACATGATCGATCTTGCTTGTGGAGTGATTCGAATCTCAAACAATCTTCTAGCCTTGAGATATTCGATCAACAAGGTAATCTGAATCTTACTCCCCTTGTAGTGGTTCCATATCTTATCACACGTAATAGACTACAAACCACTCCAACTTAATGAATATCTGAACTACGAAGAAAAACTAGTAATAATCTTAGCTAGAGAAGTAAAAAGCTTACGCAACAGGAATATTGCGTTTGTTAAGGTATTGTGACGGAATCACCACAGCCACAGCGAGGAAGCCACGTGGGAGAATGAGGATGAAATAAGACAAAAATACCCCGAGCTAGTACAAGAGTTTGAGACTTTCGAGGACGAAAGTTCTTTTGAGGGGTAGATAATGTAACGACCCGAAAAAAAAAATAAGTAAATAATAATTAAAAAGAATTAAACAGAGAGGTTTGAAAAGAATTAAAGAGAGACGTAAAGGAAAATATATATATTTAACTAGTAAATACAAAAAAAGAAAAGAGAGACAATGGAGGAGGAAAATGGAAGATTTGGTGAGCAGAATTAAAATAAATATCGAAACAATTTGAAAGAGTAAATGCATAGAGTAAAAATGATAATAAGAAATATATATATATATATATAATACTCATAAAGTCTCTAATGCTCACAGGAAGTTTAGCACATGGACCATTGTAAAGAGAGAACTGAAATTGAAATTGATGTCATGGTTCATATAGGTTGGCTTGGATACAAAGAACCAAACCAAACTTGATAGGCTAAAGATTGTTTGAATTATGATGATGTATGAGTATGACGTTATGCTATGATCTATGTTAAATGTACGTTATTTAGGTTTGATGCTTGACGTACATATTATATTTGATGCACTTAATGGCTTTTATGATGAGTATGATGTATGCATGTCGATGTTATTAACATGATGATGTTTTCCATGTTGAACATGTCTTATGATGTTGTTCGCCATATTACATCATGTCGTTAGATTGACATAGGACACAACCCTAAGAGTATGAAAATGATATTAATGTAAATATCCACGAGCACGTGTCACATAGTGTAACCAAAAGATGAGGCTAGAGGGTTGTGTGAGAAGAGATGTATATTTGAACTTAGAGGGACCTCATGCATATTGTATGTTCATAAGCATAGGGCTACTTCCCCTAGAGATGATGAGTGCGGACGCGCACCGTATGATGAGTGCAAATGCACACAGATGAGGGTGTTCATGAGGTGCATGACACTATGGGGTTTCGCTGACCTCCGGACATCGCTACAGATTAGCTTGACCAAAGGGTCCAGGGGGTGTGCGAGCGCCTTGGGGATTCACACTCGCACATGTGAGTCGTGTGTAGGAAAGTACTACACATCCAATTTGTCCGAGACTAGAAGCCACCCTTAATATGTTTAGAGATAGGTGCCTAATTCATGATTGCATGTGTTTGCATTAGCATGACCCCTATAGTGGGGTCACTTACTGAGTACTTCTAGGCCGTGTGCCATATTGTTTTTCAGGTAAAGGCAAGGCGCCCATGTACGGTTGACGGCAACATCGTGATCAGAGACTGTGGCGCGTGCAGAAAATAATTGCATATTTAAAATTCATAGTATTGGTTAGGTTAGAGTGTTTGCATTTCATTTATTTAAATTATTTAATTTGTAATTGTTTTCTCTTATTTTGAACTCCAGCACGATGTTTGAAATACGCAAGTTCGGCAGTATTTTCTAATGTTTTCATGTATTCTGAAGTTTTAAATTGTTTCCACTAATAAAGATGAGCATTGTTAGAGTTATATTCTACATTAGAGATGAGCATGAGACGATAGTGGCGACTCTAGATATGTGAAAATTTAGGGTTGTTACATCTACCATTAGTTTACATCGCCTACTACAACGTTTAAGAAATGTTATAGAAGGTACAATAGTGTTTCTTGGAGTGTCGTGAAAAAACTGGGGTCAATAACATTTTTATGAACAATGTTTTGAGTTGTTTGGATACAAAGGTTAAGAATAACTAGTTGAACTATGTTTGTTTAATTTTGGTTTGTTTGGTCCGGGTGTTATGTTTATCCATATTACGGAGAAAAGAGTAGTAGTTGGAATCCAAGCAAATCAATTTTAAAATTTCATTTTTTCGTCAATTTTGTTAGATTTAAGTTGAAGTGTATTAGAAAATTAAATACCAATTTAAGTGTTCTAGGAAATCACATCACTATAGCCATTAAAAAAATTAAGAATCTACTAAAATGGACCAAGAAAAGAAAAAAAAAACAAAAACCTAAAGAAATATAAAATTATTGGTACAAATTAATGTAATATTATTAAAAAAAAAAACATATATTTTCATTTATACTAGTAATTTTTAAGTATACAAAGTGGCACCCTATTTCTTAAACATTTATATGTCAATAAACATTAAATCTAAATTAAAAGTTTAAAAATTGGTTAAATATTTAATAAAGTTTAGTAACATAATAATTTAAATGAATTATTTAGGCTATATATATATAAAAGTTATCCAAAAAAAAAAAAAAAACTTAATAGAATTCATCATAAGGTTAGTTTCAATTTCAGGTTGGTTTCAATTTCAATTCTAGGTATTTCTTTACTTTCAATAATTGAACTAGAAGGTGGTTGATCTTTGCGGTCATTTTGTTTTAATTGATATCATCAAGAAAATAGATCTAAAGTTAAATTGAACCTTGAGGAGCAGATTCAGTCTGGTGCAAAGAATAATCAGTAACTCCGACATAGGCCAACTAAGTGGCTTTACTATCTGTTTGATTGAAAGAATTGTTTATGTATAATGACATGTGCCTAGTGGCCTGCACGTGTCATATGTATGATATGCTTTGATATGTATGATATGCTTTGAAAGGAGTTTTATGTATGTATATTACCAAGTGTACTATGTGATGAAAGAATACTTTCAACTCGACAATCCAAATCGACCCATCCCAAATTATAGGAGTTGGGTTGAGTTGAATTAGCATTTCGAGTTAACTTGAATTCATTTTTCTGAACCTAGATTGATTCGGTTTGGTTTCGGGTTGTAGGACAAAAACGTTAAATTAACTTGAACAGAACCAAAAAAAATTATAAAATATATTAAAAAATTTAGTGTATTTATAGGTGCCATACCACTAGGGCCATTGAACTCTGGCAGAAAACATTTCTTTTTCTATTATTTTGTTTAATTTGTTTAATATTATTTTATTATTTTTAATTTGTTTTATATTATTTTATTACTTTTCATCCACTTTATATTATTTTTAAATATAAAGTTTATAATATGAATAACAAATAAATTTTGTTTTAATTTTAATTTTAAGAA